TTATTACTCTCACTAAATCTACCGTAGTCGATCACTTTGTGTGTTATCCCACTTGACTTTGCAAAAATTAGTCGCTAAGCCTATGAAAAGGCGTGCATTTCTCTCTCTAGTCTCTTTTACATTTCTTTTTTAGGTCTGCTCTTGCACGCGTGTAAAGTATCCCCCACTGGGCCACGTTCATTGCCATGAATTTCTCTCAACTTTTGTACTCTTGTTTCGCATGCGCTTACACACACACACGTACAGACACACACACGTACAGACTGACAGACACATGCAGACACACACTCACACACACAAGCACATTCTTCTAATAACCAGTTTCATGTTTCTTTTTTCGTCACATGTAATTTCCTTTTTACATTGTCGTTTATTTTATATTTCGTGTTTTACATTTTTAGTTGAACACGCATAGAGTCCACCAGTAATGTTTGTGAGATATTCCAGGAGACATGTTTTTACCCAATCATACCCGAATTCCCGTAACAACGTGACTCTCATTGATGTGTATTCAAATAGGATAAATCTAGCAATAAACATCTTGGTTTGAAAGTCTTCATATACATCATATCATCAGCTGCATAAAGATATTGAAGCGTAGCAAAAGGCCTTACGAAGGATTTGCTTAAAGTGGATGAAAAGTACATAAGGGAAGCGATCAAATGTCTTTAATAAGCTGAACTTAGCCGAGAAGTGTTTGACAATTGCGGATGAATGCCAAACCTTTATCTAAATCCTGTCCAGTTTCGTTGTTCTGTTTTTCTGTATAGCAAAACGAGATTTATAAAATGGAACGACAAAAATTAGTAGATGTTGGCTAAGGTCCTGACATTCATCTTCAGTTCACAACTAAGTTCTGTGCAGGTTTTTTATGGCATTGATTAGATTTCTATAAGGCAGGATTACGCGAATATTTTGATGCTGGTCTTATGCAGGTGTAGTGCGGTTCCCGCCATGAGCAGTTTCACTTTCAGTAGGTAACTGAAACTTGCAGTCAGCCACATAAGTAAAGAATCCATAAGAGTTATCTAGTAACGATTCAGAAGAGCAAAAGTAGTGTAAAGCGATTCGTTTTTAGAAAAAAAATTCAAGACATAAAAGAAATAAAATTTCAAGACATAAAAAAGAGAAAAATTCCAATGTCATGAATGTTAAGATCTTCGGTGAGAATGGATCATTTGTCTCACTTAACTTTTATCATAATTATTGTAATTATCCCATTTTATTATTATTACTTACTTCTGCTCAAATATTTTCTAGACCAAACATTTCAAATAGGCAGTGTCTAAACTTGAAAATTTTTCTACCACGAGATTTATTTATCAAAGCCGAAATATCCTCAAATTAAATAGGATTCGACTTAAAATTGGTAAGCACCAACAAGAGAAAGTAGAACATGAGCTGTGTAATCTTCTTTTATGTGTAATGCCAGTTCAGTTCTGATCAGGGCTCTCCACAACTTCCTACTTTCGTTGCTCTAATAACTTCTATACATATACATTTTTTTGTGCTTTTTTTTTCTGATATCAACTCAAACACTTGTAAAGTGCGTTACTCATATATTTCTCTTACATCTCTTGTCTTCACTCTGTTAGGGTTAAATTCTCAAGACCTTTTCTCATTCCGGTTCCAAGAAACTTCAAATAACTATTTTTCATTGCAAGTTTGTTTTGTTATATTTCCTATTTTGCTTAATATTTCTTTGTTCTTCGTTTCTCATATGTTCTGTCTATGATATTCTTTAAATTCAACAGTAGACTCACATCTGTCTCATCAAGTCTCTTCATATATGAGCAGATTGAATGGCATCAACTGTCATTCTTGAGTCTAGATATTATGTAGCTTTTCAGCACACTTTACTAAGTTTCGGGATGATATTTTCTCGCCCTCCCTATGCATGTTCAGTTTATGCATCGTATTTTTTATTGTGTGTTATTACACTACCCTGATGCCTAAATTTTTGTAACTATCTTTTTCTATGCCGTGTCCCTTCAGTACGTTGACGATCATGACTCTCCACAATGTCGTGTCCTTTGTAGCTCTTAATAAATTTTCTTTTTGTAAACCATCTTCGGCCATCCATTAAAACAAGTTTGCTAGGTAGGTTATGTGCTGTTTTCTGCTGTTCCTATTGCCTTCAATCTGTCCTGTCAGTGTCAGATCTTCCCATCACTCTTTCTTCATTAAGAAGCATAAAAATTTCAACTCTCTTCCTCGTGTTAAGTGTCGTATTTGTTTTCATTTTCTCTGAAACCTCAGTCCATGGCTCAGAACCATATATCTGTAAATATGCCAGACACAAATGGCAATTGCTGCTACCAGAAGGTGTTGAAAAATTATCGACTCGACGAAGGAATGTAGAAAAATGATTCGTCTTGATTTTATCGAATGAGCTCGTGCCAATGACTTTTTAACACACCTTTTTATACACAAGAGAATGTTAAAATATCCTCTGATTAAAGAAGGAATTCCAAAAGAAGAAAATGTCTCTATCTAACTGTTTTGGTCATTTGGTCAGATTTTAGGATTGATTCAAGCTTTCATATATACGAATTGATTCTATCGACGTCTCGTCTCGATCAAGAATTGATTAAAAAATTTCAAAATTTCAGGTTTTGTGAAGTGGTTCAGAACCGAGAACTTTGTAATGGCCTCTCGTATATATCTAACTAGCAGGGAAATCTAGCATCTTTTTTATACCATTATTTTCCATTCTCGTTGCATTTCGTGAAAGTCTTCAAGTGACATTTATCTTATCTGGTAAATTTCTTTCATTATATAGCGATATATCTATAAAATCTGATTACGGGTTTTCTTTATAACCCAGAAGATTCATTTACTTGAATCTATTTTTAATCAGTGATCTGAGAAAACGATTGCATATAGCTGTAAGTTAAAATCAGTGTTCTCATATGAATCCACTTTTTCTTCCACTCGCTATGTGTAAATAGCAGACCAGGTTCTGTAGCCTTGTATGGTGACTGGTCTACCGCAAAAATGGCAACCTATTGCGTGAAAAAATTTGGCTCGTCAGTCATGGATCGAAAGATACATGATCGCCTAAGTGTGTATCATGCAGGGCGTTCTATATGACATCAAATATGACTTCTTTTCATAACTAAAGAATTTAATTTGGAAAGTATTTTATTAGGCAATGGAATATGTGACACAAACCTGAGTTCGCATCAGAACAGCGGAAGATGCTTTCCAGAAACTAACCAAGTATTAAGAAACATGATTTCGTAAGATAAAAAGGAAAAAGCCGCTGAATTGCTATATAATATAGCGACTTACTCGTAACTGATCTAGCGAGACAATCTTACTAACCATTACACCACGTGAAATTGCCCAGAATTTCTATGTCATATAAATCATCCATTATGGTTGTAATTGCAGGACAGTTTCCTCACAACCTTAGTGGGGGGGGGACCATTATAAACCTAGGAAAATAGGAAGTAAAGTTCACTTGTGCTTCGAACGTGTAAAAGACACTTGAAATTTATTGGACACCTATGGGGTAAGATGGATTGGGGAATTTGACACTCAAAGGATATACTGATAGCAATCATCGGGGGGAAGAATAGTGAATAACCTAGCTTTGCTGACAAAGCAGTAAATGGCTGGAATAGTAAAAAGACAAATACTTCTACAAAGAATAGGAAGATGTAAAGAGACTTGATTGCCATCATCCTGTAAGGACACGGCACAGAGAAGATGGTTTCTTAGTCTTTAGTGTTAGTTGTGAATACCAGAAGCTAAGCAAAGTATTAAGAAACAGAAAAATTTCTTTATAAACTAAAGAAAGTGCTGAATCCCTATGTAATATCAATCTTTTTACCATAATAGGGAATACTGGATAGTTATCCAACAGATGAAGAAGAAACTTGTGGCAAGAGAAATTTGGTTCTGTTGAGGAATGAAAGGAATATAATGTACGGATATACATGTACCGACCCAATGAGTGTGTATTCTCAAAAAGTTAAAAAAACAAAAAAAAAAACACTTGTACTTACAGCCTGAAAGAGTTGGAATTACTTAGATGCATAATGAGGAAAGAGGGTTTGGAGAATTTAACACTTATAGGATAGAGCAGAGAGAAAACGATGGCTAATGAATCTAACGAACTTGCGTATATGGATGGCGGAATGGGCACTTCGATGTGGTGCAATGCTTGTTAAACTTGTTCCGCTAGATCCTTTACGACTGAATAGTTGATTCACTTCCCCATGGGTGCTCCATATTTTCGGTCTTCTGACATATCTGAGTTTTGCTTAGTATATCTCTATACCTCCCACATAGGCACTTGGACGTAATGTAACGGTTAGCAAGCTTGTCCTGCTAGACCGATCACGATGATAGATTCAGTTCAATCCTCACTGGCTGTTCGGCCATCTATCACAACTAAGCTGAATTTAGAAAACTGTTTGGACCTTCGATGTGGCTTTCTCAGTAGATCAATTACGACTGAGTAGTAGATTCGATTCTCACTGGGTGTTCCATATTTTTGGCCTTGTGCCACACCTAAGTTTCGCTTAGTAAATCACTGTATGGATGACGGAACAGAGACTTGAAGGGACATTGAAGAAACAAACACGGTTAAGAGCTACGACAGGTAGGAAGTTTTCAAGAACCCAGATCGCTCTTCCTGGAAGGACGCGGCTTAAACGAGACACTCGAGAACTTAACAAGCCAACTTGATATAACTACAAGCTCTTATTTTGCAATTACTTTAAACAAACACTCTATATATGGTGGAACTATATTTACTAAAGTGATGACAGTTATATTTTCTTTTCGCCATTCTTATCGACTGCCATAACTTGTTTACAGTTTTGCTTTTATTCATGGTTTTCTATTGAATATTTTGTTTCTTCGTCAATTTGGTTCTTTTTAAGTTTCTTCTCTTACTCATTTAACTAAGTGGTATTCGTTCTCGATTACATGATGTAGATTGTCAAACATAATTTGATGAAAGATTGGAAATTTTTTTTTTATGTTTAATGCATTACATCTTACATTATGCAGTTTCCAATTCCTCACGTCCAACTGTTCTTTCCCCAGACTTCCTTTTCTCTCATCTTTCGTGTGCCACCATCATTTATTACTGCCAAATAATGCCTTTTTGCCACGCTCTCACACTTTTTCTCACTAATATTAATAACTGTTTATGTCTTTTAAAACTCATCGAGGAAGCGAGTTTTTTCTTCGCCGCTAAGGGTATTCAAATTTCAGCAAGATAAAGCAATGGAATTTGAAAACCTACTTGTTATTGTTCAGGTCAAATTACTTTTAGGGTTATCATTACGGATTATTGAATTATTTTTGCTAGTTTTCTAATATTATTTGAATCTAGAAGAAAAACGGAAGCACCTAGGAATGGTAAATAGTTTGGTCTTTTAGTTTTTGTCAATTATCTCTCCACAGATTTCAACGGAGACATATTTTGGTTTCTATTTGTATACAGCGCGCATAAAATATATTTGAAGCCAGGATTCCAAATGTCTTGAAAAGTTCTATCGAAAATAGAAAAGGAAAAGCATTCCTAACAAGATATTTCTATGAAAACTTGCGCAGTTATTACAAACATTATTGTCTTTCTGTCTGTCTGTCTGTCTGTGTGTCTGTCTGTCTGTCTGTGTGTCTGTCTGTCTGTCTGTCTGTGTGTCTGTCTGTCTGTCTGTGTGTCTGTCTGTCTGTGTGTCTGTCTGTGTGTCTGTCTGTCTGTCACTTTTATGTTTATAGCTATTGTCACTCTGGTGGTTTTCGCTATAAGTTTAATTTTAAATTCGTTTCTATAGGCGAAACAAATATGAGACAAAATGCAAATGAAGACAAGTTAATTCAAGACAGTTTTAAGTTACCAATTAATAATATTTCTAGTACACGTTTATAATACACACAGTGTGGAACGCACTCACTAATTACTATCAATGTGGTCGCTTCGACGTGGTATAATGGTTACTAAGCTTGTCTCACTAGAACAATTACAACTGAGTAGCGAGTTCTATTCTCGCTGGGTTCGCCATACTTTCCGCTTATGACACAAGGGTACTTCGACATGGTGTAATCGTTAACAATTTTGTCTCGCTAGAACAAATACGACTGAATAGTGAGTTCGATTTTCGAGTTCAGCCTTATGCCACATATAAGCTACACTTGGAAAATCGCCATAATCTCTATCAATGATATGCAAAATCTGCTTATTTACACACATTTATTACACACATATTTTCAGTCAGTTATCTGTCATGAGTGATACACGTTTAATCGATCATGTATCTCTCGATACCTGACTGAAGAGACATAATTTTCCCGCAGTAGGTTGCCATTTCTTTCCGCGATGGACCAGTTGCCATCTGAGGCAACAGAACCCGGTCTGTCCTGCTATTTATTCGTAGCAGGGGAGGGTAGAAGAGGAATCATACCTTTTTCCAAGGGTATTAGCACGTAAGTGAATGTAATGGATTCGACTGGAATTCGAACTCGTCTCTCTGATTTCTCCATCCGTGCCGCTATCCATTACTCCACAGTGCCTTCACAATGGATCCATTATATTTTGAATAAAAAAAAATTGAAAAAGAATCCAATGTAAAGCGTTTCGATCTTCAGCCGGATTTCTTCAGATTAAATATTTTCCTAATGTGGAGAGAACTAAAATATAAACAAGACCTGTTTCTTATAGCACATTGAGAGAAACTTTAACATTTTAAATTTCTGTTTTCTGATGCGTGTCGATGTCTTGCTTAAGCGACTTCATTCTTCTTCTTATGGTCTTTGTTTTTGTTATCGCTGTTTTTAAAAATCCGAAATTGTAATAGCAGTAGTTTTTTTTTTTTTTAATAAAATGTTGGATGAATCTGGATAGCAAACTAAAAATATTTTATATCCTGTCCGAAGAAAATCTATTAAAAATCCTAAATTGAATAAAACTCATCCATGATTTAAAAAAAAGAATAATAATCTATTTCAAGCCAAATGAGCATGAGAATTATAGTTAAGCTTGGTTTACTATGATACAAGGCTAAATATTGTAATCGGTGAATATTACACTATGTTGAGCCAATTTTCCAAGTCTGTTTGGAAAGTAAATGTTAGAATCCTTACATTTTAATAAGGTGTTCTTTTGCAACCAAAATTCCAAAATAAAGCAAATAAATATATGATTAATATATCCACAAAATCAATAAAATGAATAGGACGCGTTCCTTAAAAACATGCAAGAAATAAGCCTTCCCTATCTGAACTGAAATAGTGAAGATTTTCCTGAACCAGACAGGCTAAATATAACCCTTTCTCCTCTCATAAGCAGTCTTTTTTTACATCATCAGACGCTATCCTATCGCTATTTCCATGGTAAATGTTCGGATGATACGGGCGCACCTCTAAAACTCTCTATGTCCAGGGATTTGTGACTGAACTCTCTTCCGATCTTGCATAAACTACCCAATGGGGTAAAAACTGTCTGGTTACATTCAAAGCCTCGAAGACCAAGCTAATTACATTCCATCATTACCGATATGTCTTGAAACTACGACCAACCTGGATGAATGGAGGTCCTCTCGGGGAAGGACCGTTCCTTGAAAGACTGTTGAACCTCAAATCGACACCCCACTTCAAATGGAACTCGTAAATACGATTCATTGCTGAGGATGCAGTTAAAAATGGTCAGTTCTCTGTATCGCTCCAGTAAGTACCTGACACCTCCTGCTATACTCTATTTTTACAAGAACCAGATCAGAAAAATGAAGTACTGTTATTATATTTGGGCAGAAGCTGCCGAGATTTCACTCTCCAACCTTGATAGAATTCAAAAGAGTCTCCAAGCCTTTTTGTGTAACGAATTATTCTCCACCCTTCAACCTCCCTCCCTATCTCTCTCTCTCACTCTCTCTCTCTCTCTCTCTCTCTCTCTCTCTCTCTCTCTCTCTCTCTCACAGGCGGGATGTGGTAAGCCTCTCACTGTTCTCACGAAAAGTGCTCGGACGAACTACATTTCCTGGTCCCGCCGAGACAAACTTTCACAAGTATACGCCATGCTTACTTACATTGTAGCAAACCAACCATATTCTTTCCGTGTCATATCGGTGAGAAGTAAGTTTCTTCCCGCGAACAACTACCCTATGGAACCGTTTTCCAACAGGATGTTTTTCGGATCTCTGTAATCTTAACCTGTTCAAGGTTAGGGCTAACCATTATCTCCCACTGCTATACAGGCAAATCGCCTCTAAACGTAACCCTCTACCTCGAGTGTCCCCTGGACCTTGTAAAGGGTGAACCTCGCTGTACAAAAATGAGGTCTATTCAATAGTTCGAGCTAGTCAGACGTTTATAGCAAGGATTCACCATGATACGCCAACGTATTCTTTTCTATATATTCCAATTGTCTGGATGAATTTGAATTCGGAAATTGTTTCCCCACACCCAAGCAACATTAGTTTGAGGAACAGACAACCGCGTGCATGCTTTACGGAATACTATAAACTTTTCGGTCAAGAGTGAATCGTGAGCTATCGTCCTCATACTTACCTCCTCTTAGATTACTATAACACGCCTCATCTAGAACCACTCGACAGAGAGTGGCTCTTGAGCCTTGTTTTGGACAGAAAATTGTTATTTTTCTTTGTTAAGAAAAAATAAAATTTCCAAACTAGAGAATTATGTTTCGCTTTTTGCCCGGTATAATTCCAAATTTATTGCAGCTACATATTGCGAATTTTTATAATGTCTTAACTGACAGCATGCTTCCTTCCTTCCTTCCTTCCTTCCTTCCTTCCTTCCTTCCTTCCTTCCTTCCTTCCTTCCTTCCTTCCTCTTCTTTCTTTCATTCATTTATTCATTTCTTTCATTCATTTTAATTCACAATATGTACGCTCGTGATAATTCATAAGACATATTTCTAGCGGGGTCTTTAGGCTTCTTCATTCTACTGCTGAACAACCTCCTTGATTATTGCAAATAATTCACCGTAGGATCTCATTATGGTAAAACTTGTATTTCCTCTATTCGAGGTTTCATTCCTTTTTCAGCGGATTCTTTACGCCAAAGCCCAATGTTAATGACATTTCCATTTTTAGTTCGGTCTGTGCAAGTCTTTTCACAGTGTGATTGAATATAAAACCACCCAAAATTCCAATACACCGATAATTGACGATTTCCATCCACTAACTGAATGTTTCTCTTTGTTTCCAGGGCCGGAGTATTGGGGAAAGATCAATCCGGATTGGACACTGTGTGAAAAAGGGAAGCAACAGTCGCCAGTGAACATAGACCCCAAGTCACTGGTTTACGACCCGAATTTGAGACCTTTTAAATTAGAGAGAAAACGAGTAAGTAATCATTGAATGGAGCTATACTTTTTTTTTTTATTAGAAACTAGTTGATATATGTTTAAAGAATTTTGTATAAAATTCAGCTGGTATTCTTGCTTCAGGTATCAATTATTTAGGAATGTCTGGAGACATAATACAATGGTAGAAAATATATCCATATATTTAAAGTTCCTTTGTACACTGAAACACATGTTAACTGAATGTACTCACTTAGTCCATATATAACATAAATACTACAAGGAAAACAAAAAAAAACTATTTGAAAATACAGAAATCTTAAAGAAATTGGTTTATAGCGATTTTCCAAGCATAGCTTAGATGTGGCACAAGGCCGAAATTAGAGGGCACCCAGTGAGGATCGAACTCACTACTCAGTCGTAATTGTTGTAGCGAGCCAAGCTCGCTAGCCATTACACCACCTTGAGGTGCCCAAATCACTTTCCTATAGCATCGCTCGGCTTCTAACTCGTATTATATTTGTTCAGGTGGGACAGATTATTTAACTGGGGAAACTACTGGATAGCATGCCTTTTTTTTTGAAGAGAGCATAACATTTCTCATTGATAGCAGAGGGTCTGTGTTCGAGCTTTTGTAAATGCTAATAGCCTAATCACCATAATTATCTCGAGGTTATTTGAAGCGAAATATATTTTGGAATATAAGAATATTTTTTTACGAATTAATTCAATATTCACTCGCAAAAAAGAGATAGAATAAAAAAAAAAGGTTTTAAATAATCTCAAACGTGTTAAGTAGTAAAAATCAATCAATTCATGGCTCGGCTGTACCAGCGATTATTTAATTATCCGTCAATGTCGTGCAATATGTGGTACAAGGTTGATTTTAATGTAGGATTTCGAACAGCCGTTCTGAAATCATTTCAGCAATTCCCTCTACGAAGGTGTACTGCCTTAGGGTTTTGTCTCCCTGCTCGAGCCTAATATTAAGGAAAACTCCAGTTTTGGGCGAACCAGAGAGATATAAAGAATAAAAAATGAATGATGACTAATCAGTTCTAGTGAGCCAAGCTTGCTAACCATTACACCGCCGCGAGGTGCACGAGAAATTGGTTTATACCAAAACATAACACTATGTACCTCCAGAAAAAAAAAAAACAGAAGAAAAAAAGTTATACCTAAGGTTCAAAATGAATTTGAAAATAAAATAACTTTCTTAAAGCTTTTATTTTAGTTTTAATTTAAAGCTAATAGATTAAATGTTTCCAATAAGCAAAATACTTTGCTGTATTTCAAAAATTAAATTAAATTGACTGCAAGTAGTTATTTTCTAAGATAGCTGATTAGCGCCCTTTTTTTATTCGTCTTTCATTGCAATGTAATTCTCTTTATCAAAATATCTTCCAAAAATAAAATATTTTCTGAAACTTTATTTGAGAAATATAAACCGCTTTAAAGTATAATTCATCTGATTTAAAAAAAAAAAATTTCTTTAAGATTAAAAGATTGCATAAACGACATTAGCTGTGTTTTAAACCGGGCAATAGTTGTTTTGACGTGTTGAGAGCCTGATGACAGGTTAATTTTGGTCTATGGAGAATTTATCTGCAAAACATAATTTAAGAAAATGAAGTGTTCTCCTTTTTTATATAATGTTTAAGCACTCAGCAAACTTAAAACTTTTCGAAAATATTCTCCGTAATCTAATTTTAGGAATGTTGATTTTAAATTTATTATCGTCATCGCTCTTTTCTGATGTTTTGTACGCAATTTTATGGCTTCACATACAGATGATTTTTACAGAACATTATCCTTTCAAGATAAACATATATTTTATCGAGATATACATTGTAGATGATCTAGTTTAGGTTTTAGTGTAGAAATTTGCCAAGACTTAATGTCAATTTTAATAAAAATTCATTGGAGCGATCAAAACGTTACTATCAGGTCAGGTGAATATGGTGGGCGTGGTACAACAGACTAACTGATTTCCCAGAGAGTTTTCCTGGATTATTCCCGCCGTAAGTAGCTTTGTGTTGGTAAACACGAATTTTCTTCCTGAAGAACGAAGGGGCCTTTTATGGAGAGATTGTAGCTGCTGGACGTATAAAATCGCATTTAATATTTAATTGATTTAAGAATTCTAAATTAATAACTTCCCAACGATTGCTCCAAACGCAAAACATTACCATTCTTCCATGGAACTCAGCTTGTTGGTTAGCTTGCCAAGATTCATTCCTGTCAATCCAGTGCTTTTAGCGTTGACCATTGCCCTGTGTCACCGGTTGTGATATACTTACATAACGGTTTCTAAAAACGACAATTACATGGAACTCAATCTAATATTAGACTGGTTGCTATCGACTTCTAAAAGCCCAGTCTACCCGGCTACTTAAGAGACAAAAAAATGAATCATTATCTTTTCCTTGGGTATTGATGTGTAAATGAACGTAACAGAGTTGTCTGAAATTTGAACTCTGGTCAGCGGTTCTACTTTACATATATTTGACATTACCCGCACATCAACTTTCAAACTACTCTCTCAAGCAGAAGCTTAGCACAACACATGTTGTGCATCTTGTAGTGTAGTGCGTTCTGTCTTTGATTCAAATGTGTGGCACTTGGAATTAAGTAAGAAAACAAAAATTCAAAGCCAGTCGTAAGGATATATTAGACACGGACACCCTATTCCGACCAATGGAGACTATGAAAGATAGATCATCAAAAGATGAGCCAAACTACTAAAGAAATTCGTATTATTTTTTCCTTAATGCCTCTTTCGCTATTTCCACGACAGAATAACATAAGCGTGAGCGTCTGTCTTAGAAATTGGGAAAAATTTTTTTTTGTTTTTTTTTTTCTTTTAAAGGAAAAATCTTCCTATAATTGAAATTTTAAGTACAATATTAAAACAGATGACAGGGTGATTACCACACGCCAATTCCTGAGATTAATTTCTAAATTATTAACTTTAAAATAAAAAAAAACATCTTTTTTTAAAATAAAAGAATTATTATGAACGTTTCCTGTTTCTAAAGAAAAAGATATTTACATGTTTTCCTTGGTGAAAATCGTTTAAAAAGGTTTAAAATGATAAAAAGTTACTTTCGATGAAAGTATAAAAATTCAAGAAACTTTGCACTTAATCATTGTTTATGCATGTCGTTATGTGTGAGAGAATGTGATTGAACAAGTGAGGAAGAAGCGAGCGGGCCACAGTTTACCCATGTTGTGGATTCCGGGGATGGAATCCTGCACAAATAAATAAACAACACCAGTAATTGAAATAGAAAAATATGTGTATTAAACGTAAGAATACAAACTTGAAAGGAAGATCAGTAGTCCAGGAATGCAGGTTAGTAGAAAAGTATATGTAAAAGTCTCTGTATGTGAAGCTGTAATTATCTCTCTTTCTGGACTCTCGTATAACTCCGAGTGAACATCCTGTCTAGACTTTTTTTTCACGCTATCTCTCCGTAGTATAAGTATACTTTGGACGAGTCCATTTTGTGTTCAAGGGGCGAACCCCACAGTTTACCCATCACTTGGATATATTAGTATAATCTTTTTTGTTGAATACATTTTATTTTATTTAGAAATTAGAATGTGTTATCTGATACAGCAAATTCAAATGTCAATTCATCACCTTACACTATGCAAGATTTTTTAGATCATTTTACCCAAAGACATAAAGACGCAAGGAGTATGAAATAATATGAGAAAAAAAAACACTATTCAGGAGAGAGACAATTAAAATAACAGGAATTAATAGACAAAAGATAACGATTGACCCGGTGATAATTCATCCGATTTAGGTTGTATATGAAAACACAGATCGTATTACTCGGACTTAAATCCTTCTATATCATCTTGTGTCACTCACAAAGTATATGGATATGACTCACTAAATTAATCATACTTGAAGTCTCTTTTCGTCTCAGGTTGGGAATATCCTTTGTTATAACGTCGGTCTTTCCAAGTTACATCGGGAGGAATGAGTCATTAACCTTCCTCGATGGCCGAATAAGTGTTGGTAGAAATAGATGTGACACCCTTAGACGATCGTACCTCTTTTCGATTCATGGTCGGCCAAGGTATATTGTAAGTAAATGTAACAAACCTGACTGGAATTCGAACTCGGTTGTCCGATTTCTCATCCCGAGCCTTTATCCACGAAACCACCTGCATATTCACTACCTGGGGTACCCAAGTCAACCATCTAGAGAGTGACTTGACGTTGCTGAATCACGCTAATTTTACTAGAATCGATGTTTCAACGTCATTATCATCGTCACAGATCTCCCGAAAATGTATACATATCGGACCTCAAAATAAATGAAGGAGGTGACATCATATTATCACTGATCTATCCAAAATAACGACTGGGCACCTTCAAGGCCGTGTAACGGTTAACAAGCTTGTCTCGCTAGAACAATTACGACTGAGAAGTGAGTTCGATCCTCATTGGGTGCCCCATACTTTTGGCCTTGTGCCACATCTAAGATACGCTTGGAAAAATCACTATCCAATATGATGATTTGTTTACTGGGTTAAATTGACAAAATTCTC